CCCTCTGAGTCAAAAACTTCTTCCAAACATCTGAACTATCTCTCCTCTTTTTTAGTTTAAAGCCATTACCTCTCATCCTATCACTACCAAATAGTATGAAAAGTCAGACCCTTTCCTGCTTGTAAGCTCCCTTCAAGTACTGCAAGTAGGTCTTCCTAGACAATTCTCTTCTCAATGCTAAATAAGCCCAACCCCCTCAGTCTTTCTTCACAGGAAGACACAATCTTCTGGCTACGACCACCCAACCAATTATTTATCCACATAGTATTTCAAACTTCAAATCCATATCTCTCCAATTTAGAGATAAGGATGTGGTGTAGAACCTTGTCAAAGGCCTTGCACAATTCCAGGTAGAAGACACCACTTACCCTTCCTTTGCTTATCAATGCCATCATTTCATTATAGAAGACCACCAGATTGGTTAGGCATAATCCGCCCTTGGTGAAGCCATGCTGGCTGTCTCAGATCGCCTCCACATCTTACATGTGACTTAACAACTTTTTCAAGTGGATTTGTTCCACGATCTTCCCAGGCACAGACATACTTCTCTAGAAGCTGTTTCAAACTTTGCTTACACAGCTAAATTACTAGCAATGTATATGGTATTTTTTGATCTTTTAAGAAAGAAGCATTTTAAATAATGTTAATGTTGTAAGTCTAAGTTTAAAAAAAAAAAACAAAAAAAACCAGGTCAAGGCTTTTCAGGTAAGGATGACTGCCAGATTTCCAAAGGTAGTTCTAAAATATTACTATACCATTTAATTCCTTAAAAATATTGGAAAACAGGAAACTAAAGTGCTATTTCCTGCTCTTTCAATGTCTGTGGTATATTACTGAAGGAATTTTAGCTTAGTTCAAGAGGTTTTTTAGACAACAACAATAAAACATGCACAAAAACCATGCCACACAAAAACTAAAATTACATCTGAAAACCAGATCCATTTTGCCCTGAGAAGCATTTAAAAGTATTTGGTTCAGATATTCATGTTGGGAAGTTTTGAAAACACCTTACTAATTCTAGAAAAGATTACATTGATTCGCTTGGGATTTTAGAGAAGAGATTTCCTGTTTAACACTACGCATAGAATTATACTATACACTATATATTATAGAAAATGGACAAGAAGTCCATTCTGGACTAATTTAAAAAAATCAAGAAAAACAAAAGCATATAAACAAACAAACATTTAGAAAAAGTAATACTGTTTTGCATTTGATTATTTTGTTGGTTTTTTTTCTCTTTTGTTTCACAAAGTATTTTGCAATTCACAAGTTACAATTTACATAATAAAGAAGGAAACAATAAATGGAGAATTATGAAAAAGAAGAAATTGATGAGTAGTGCTTTTGATTTAGAAATTCTTCAACATAAAACCTTCTACTTGGCTATCTAGCACAGCATTTAAAGAAAATTAGATATATCACATTGAAACTCAAATTTAAGAATAGTCAATAAAATGAGTCTCAAGTATGAAATCAGGAATAAGCTGCTTACAACTTCTACTGCTGAACCTGCATAAATCCTGAGTTGTGGGGGTTTTTTTTGTTCTTTTTTTAAACAAGTTAGAGTCACTCTTCTAAAACTGCATTATCAGAAGGCTAACTAAAAGCTAAAAACAGTTTCAAGCAGAATATTATACTGTGTGAGATGAAGTAGGGACTAAAAAAAAAAAAAAAAAAAAATTAGCACAGGGTAGAAGAAAAATATCTAGAGCACCATGTAGTACGTATACCAAAGGAAATATTTGCCCGAACTGATTCAAAACCCATTTTTGGGATGGTGTAAAGCAATGTATCTCCACTGATTCACAACTACTGGGAATCTAGGTTAAAAAATCGTTGACTAAAATCGTTTGACTAGGTTATAAAACCACGATTTTGAAAAAAAATATTTAATAGCATCCATAAATTTAAAATCTACACCACTACATATCGACTATAAAATATTAACACTCATTTTCATCCTCACTCACATGATAAAATTTACTTTGAGAAACAAGATAAAAGCTGATAAGAATCACTACACATAATTACTTTGATTGTACCAATAAAAAGGCATTTAGAGTAAAAACTTGTGTATGGAAGGAGCTTCACCAAAGCTCTCAGACTCAGTTATGAAGTGCAGTAGAAGTCTCATTTTCTGTGTTGAGGTAGGATTTTCATTCTGGAGATTATGCTTGTCCCACAGAATTTATAGTTATAATAAATATGACCAATATATATGCCTATTTATTAGTTTAATTTTAGATCAGTATGGCTTCAGTGTTTCAAGAATAGGATTAAGTAAAAAAAAAAAAAAAAAAAAAGAAAGAAAAGAAAAAAAGAAAAACTATATGTCAAAAAGCAAAGATACATTAGGCATCTCTTCAATCTGAAATTTACTGGGAACATAGAGGAAACTGTTGCCTAAAATAACTAGTGGGAAAAAGAGAGTCACTTGGGAAAGAAGCTGATATGCCTTCTCTGAAGAGCAAATATGAGTTTGGACAAAAACAAACAAACACACAATGACAAAATAGCCTCAGAGTAATGAATCCAGGCTGTTCATCCTGGAGAAGAGAAGGATCTGAGGTGTCCTGGTAGCGGCCTTCCAGAATCTAAGGGGAACTACAGGAAAGAAAGGGACAGTTTCTTTATCAGGATCTGTGGTGATAGGACAAGGGGAAAAGGATTCAAGGTTAAAGAGAGGTGATTTAGTGATTTAGCTCAGACATAAAAAAAGGTCTTTTACAGAGAGAGTGATGAGACACTGGAACAGTTTGCCCAGAGATGTGGTGAATGCCCTGTTCCCGGAGACTTTCAAGGCCAGGTTAGATCAGGTTCTGAGCAAACTGATCTAGCTGAATGTCCCTGTTCATTGCAGGAGAGTTGGACTAGGTGACCTTTAAAAACCCTTTCCAACTCTAAGGATTCTATGAATTCTATCCAGAACAGATGATCCATCAAAAAAAAAGTTAAACTTGCAGTTTCAAATGCCAACCTGCAATAGCTACCAGCAAATAGTGAATATTCAATAGTGATCCCAGCAAAGGAAGTGTTTTTAAAGGGAAGTCTGGAGAACCAGCACTCTAGCGGCATTCCTAAATTTAACAACTGTATTAATTAAAAAATCTCATCAATTCTAAAACTCAAAAGTGACTTGCTGATGCATTAAGAAAATAAAATCTCTGATCTGATCCATTAACTTAAACTTTCATCCACACCATCTTGTTTTAAGAACTAGAAATATGTACTCAAATGTCACCTGTCTCCTCACTTCTAATGCTCACACTCAATACCTGCAGATCTACTTGTATTCTTACTGAATGTTGTTTTTTTGTTTTGTTTTTTTTTTGTTGTTGTTGTTGTTATTGTTTGGGGATTTTTTTTTTGAAGTGTTTTGACAAAACACAGCATCTGTAACAGGAATGCTTAGTCAACAGAATAAAAATAGTTTCAGTGGCACACTTCTATAGAAGTGCCACTGTCAGTGGAGAAGACTGTGGTCATTTCAGAGTTCACATCGGTTTAGCTTGATTTAGATGAGACAAAATTGGTCTAAAACTTGATTGACTCTGGAAATGGGTCTTCACTCTCTGAAGAAGCTGGAAGTCAGCTGCCAGCAAGGATCTCAAGAAAATAAGCTGTGCTCTACACCTTCACTTTGGCAGCCATGGACAAAGCATCAAACACAGTAATGACACCTCTCGGTATCACAACGGAGGCCCAGTACAACATGAGTGTCATGGAAGTAGAAAGGGTCAAGTCACCTGGGGTATCTATCAGTGAGCAGTATGATAAATGGAAGAGGAAAATATGCCACCAACTTCTGTGGGTACAGGAGGAGAAACAAAACTGAACAGAAAGTCTCTGAAAAGACTATGCTTCTGGTAAGGCTAGCATGAGCCTTGTGGTCCTCCACTACTCAGCGTTGGCTATTCTTTGAGAGATCAGGCCAAAAACCTCAGGACCTGAAATGTCATTACGCACAGCTGCTAGCATGCCCACTTGTACCCTGCTCAGGCTTTAATGTGAAAACAAACACAAGATGCAGGTAGAAGACTGTTGCTTTCATCTCTTATACAGAATTAAAGATAGTATACAGATTAAATTCATTAAATCTTTCCAGTATGTCACAAGCAAGGACATCCAGGCTAATAATCAAAATTTATAATTGCAATTAGAGCCACTTGCTGACATTGCATACCATGGTTTTCTCCAATATTTATGTGTACTTAAGAAGTCACCTTGCCTGGAGAAGAGATTGAGTCTGTTAGAAAACACCACAACAATTTGCACAATACCAGCAATGACTGTGAATGTAGATGATTACACAAGTTAAAATGTTCACAGAGCATGCTAACTCCGATGACTTTGTGCTTCCCTTAGACGTAAGAATCTATTAATCTAAAATTCGATCAGTAAAGCAACTTAGGATACTACTAAAAACATACCAATTTTCTTGAAGCAAATATTACAACACTACTTTTCCTCAGAAGAAATATGTTGAACTCAACAAAGAGCCTTCTAACAAGTAGATAGCTCTCCTGCCTTTCTCAGGAAAATCTTAGAATTGATTCTTTAAAAAGTTGAGTGCATGTATAGGTATACATCTATATGATTGAAGAACTTAGAAATTTTAAATCCATTATGACAAGTTAGTAACAGGAAGCTGTTCCAACAATCAATTTCTTACCCTTTGTATCCTCAAATCTTGTCACAGTAATGACAGTATCCTGTTTTCAAAGAACCAGTCCAAGATAATAACATCACTGTCCTGATAACATATTGCCAGATTATGTGTATCTGGTGCTATTTCAAATACACTCATACATTGATAGGGAAAAAAAAAAAATAAATACTGAGCCCCTTCAGAAAGTGAGAGAAAAATTGGCTGTCACATCTTTAAGAAAGTGTGCTTTCTGTAAGGTGCTGCCACAATTCATAAAAACATATTACTCTTTTTATTTGTTAAATATTTATAGAGAGTATATATTTGATGGGAAGAAATACCTACCCACCTCTCAGAAGTCTGAGTCCTTGCTGGATAATTCAGAAAAAGGAGTCCAATAGGACAATTATTCTAATGCAAAGCAAAAATCTACACCAAAAAACAATACCAATAGTAATAAAAAATTGACTAGTAAACAGAGTGGCAAAGAAATGAGAAAGTAAAAAAAAGTACAGTTTGAAATGAAAGTCAAAGCTATGATGCTTTTAAGTCATATGATCAACAACAAACTGAATCGTTCCACCCTTAAGGAAACACAGTTCTCCCACTCACCCAATCACACAAATCTCCAGTTCTGGAATATATATAAAATTTTAAACCTTATAAGAAAGTGCAGTTTTCTATTAAAACTGTGTTGGCATTCCTGTTTACGATGGTAAAATGTTACCATCACTTAATGCAATTAACACGTCTTTAAAGGATGAAATCTACACATAATTGCTAAAAGGTGGTTTGAGACACATTCTAAGCATATTATCCGTAAGGAGAAATGGTACTAAAATACCTCACAGTTTGTAGAATAGAAGATGCCAATCAATCATGTATCACATAGAACTCTTTGAACTAGGGCATGAACTTGGAGGAAGCAAGTGTAAGTCTTTCTGCCTGGTAAAAAGCACCACTAGAACTGTGATTGTTCAACTGTTTCACTACACAAGGACTAATCCTGTCCCTTGGACATACCTCCTGCTGCCATTTGTCAGTGATTAAGCAAAAGGAAATAAGAGAGTTTACAAAAAATCTTGATACTTATTGGCAGCTAATAATTTTTCCTTGAAGTTTTTCCACAAAGTATGCAAGAGGGAAATTCAAAGTCTGTAAATACAAAGTATTTTTATTCTTAAATTGGTATGACTTCAGCAAAATTGATAAGGGAATTGCAGTTAAAAGTATGTATTCATATTTAGATGAAACTAAATTGCAAGATTTGTACTAGTTGCACAGGCTACATTAAATTTATATATTTAATTATATATTTTTAAAAGTCATGCTTGTGAAAATGTGAGAGCCGTTCCTACGTGAAGACAAGGACTGATGCTACATTTGGGCTCCAGATAATCAACAAAATCCCTTAAAGTACAAGTGCAGGAAAAAAAAAGGAACATCCTGACTGCCATAATTAGATCGAAAGTGTTGCTTTTATCATTAGTACACCATTGCTTATAAAAGTCAGTTTGAGTTGCTTCAGAGGGAAGCGCAAGAAACTTCACAGTAGGCTGAAACAGGATAACATTCTACATTTGACTTATCCCCGACTCTTCAGAAAGAGATGCAGGAAAACAGGTAACAACTTGAGAGAAAAGTTCTTTATTTTTATTTTTCTTTATTTTTACCTGCTTGATTTTCAAGCAGAACAATGAGCAAGAAGCTGGCTGGATTATGTGTATTTCAGTTTCGATATACCAAAGTTTTTAGCATCTCTTATTTGTATAATCAATGAACATACAGGTGTTATAATTATAAAATAAACAAGAGAGTTTGGCTAAGCAGGTTATTATACCATAAAGAGAATAGATAGAATGCTTACCCTTGAACCAGACTTGCTGTAAAACTCCAAAGGAGGGATCTCCAGAAAGAGATCCTTCCCCACTGCTAGTCAGCTCTTAAATGGGTCTAGGAGAGGTGGAGCCAGGCTCCACCCCTTCCAGCAGCACAGGTTAAGGCAATTCACCTGTGCTTCCATGATTGACTCATTGCTCACCTCAGGTGATCAATCAGAGATTCAGGCTGTGATTGAGAAATTCCCATACACTTATGGTATAACATTTGCAGTTTGGATAAGTATGAAAAGATCCGGTTTTCCCACAGTAATGCCCACAATTACAAAAGTTAAAAAGTTAATGACAGTGCCTAAAAATATATTTTTTTAACTAGGTCCTAAAACATATTCACATCTCTAACTTCTCAATTTATCTTATATGACTTGACATCTCTACACTGTTGTGAGTGTAGAGATAGCTAACATACAACACTACTATGCATCAAAGCCCTACAGTGCAGGCAAACAGCAGAAAAATCTAATCCTTTCTTGCCAGATTTTGACCGGGTTTATTTACCCCACCACAGTTACTTCCACAGTCAGAGACTTGGCTCACTGTATGAATGACTACAAAACAAAAACATACACAACAATCCTCAGAGGAAACCAGAAATCATCAGTAACTGATGCATAGTTGAATAAGAGCTGAATTTGTCCCCATTGGCATTATTTGTGCATTCACGCACTTAATATTTCACATCAAATCTGACTGAGTAAATAAAGTGACATTTTGATTATGGAATATATTAGAGACTGACAGTAGTTTTATGGATCAATCAAAACATTTGAAGAATTGATTACTGCGGTTTCAAAGTCATTCATTTCAGCAGAGGTGCAGGCTACAGTCCACAGAATGTAGGCAAACACAAAACTTGAATAATTATCTTGATCAGAAATATAAAACTAATAAGTGAAGATGCCTATCATTAAAGGGGTCATTCTACAGTGCATGCTTAGTGATACAGATCTCCTTTTATAATGCCCAATGAGCACTAGAAAAGTCTTCCTTCATATTCTGGCTGTGGTAATCTCAAGAGAAAAACTAATCTGATTACACCAAAAATTCCTTAGAATGCAAGAATATATGTCTCGTTATGAAATTAAACCAAGTACAATCAGGTGCATAAAAATTATTATGCAAATTAGATGTCTTTTCATGTTGGATTCACCAGTAATCCTTCCTCTCTCACACTTCTGAGCACAGTACTCCCTTACCTCTTAACAGGCAGTCTAACAAATAAGTCTTCCAGATCTCACAGTAAAATGACAACCATTTGCCTTCAAAATTATTCTCCTATCCATGCATCCTAATTTAAAGCCTCCTAAGATTCCCTAAAGACCCAAGAAGAGTGGGAGGAAGAAACAACAGACACATCTTCAGCAGTGGATTTTATCACTTTTGATGCCTCCAAATTGTAGTCTAACCATTATCAAGTCCCTTAGCATAATTACCTCCAGAGTCAAGGGTAGAGAGAAACTACAGAACAGGATGTAACAAAAAGAAAAATGCTTTGAGAGGTGTCATGGCCTATGTGTAGCACAGAGGTAAAATTTTGTAAGAATTGAAAGGGGAGGTTAAAAATAAAGGTTCAAGACAGGGACCTCTTACGAGATGTATTAAGCACCATCTCCTGATAGAAATACAGCATGAGGCTTGACCAGCATGAAACAGACCCAGAAACACGGTGCTTATAACCCACTCATAGAAATATCTACATGACAGAAGGCACTTGTGTTTTACTAAACTTTTGGTTCATTCATGTTTTTATACGTATGTAAAAACCAGAGAAAGAATTCCGGTTGTAAACCAGAGAAATTGTCTGCTGATCAATTTGGGGCACACTCTGCATTTTATTACTGTCTTGTAAATTTTCCTGAAGGGGATCCCTCTTGAAAATAATAATAATCGTGAAATTATAATAATAATAAAGCTTAGATTCAACTATAGGAATAACATAACAGCAGTGAAGATCATGCTGCACAATCAGAAAACTATTTAACAGAGCAGTGGAAGAGAATAAAAGAGAGATATTAATACCTTTTCCTATTGTGATTTTCACTTTTCCTGCAGAACAGGGAAGGTGAGAAGTCCCAGTAAAGGGGACTATCCAAGCTGCAGTTTCTACTTGAATCTCTTATTCCTGTCATCAATGGATGCTTTCTGTTATCTGTTACAGAGGTCCAAAAATAAGCCTTAAAGTTGACCTAGATCCAGTTTATGATAAGAAATTTTGTCTTCCTTTTCCTTGCATTTACAGCAAAACACAAAGCCTTTCACATGCCTATTCTAAAGCCTAAGCCCAACCTTTTTGTCAGGGATTTGAGAGCTTTTGGAAGGTTTTGAAGAAAAAGACAGAAATCCCAAATGTGACACTTCTGAAAAAAGAAAAAAAAAAAAAAAATGGGAAGGGAGGAATTTCTGTCAGCTGACAGAATTTTTCAGCAACAATGAAAAATAAGAATTTGAAGATGCACTGTATTGTATTCCAAGGGAAAATAATTACTTCAAATGTGAAAATCAGAAAATTACCACAAGCAGATTTGTTCTTCATAATTGTCCAAAGCAGAGAAAATAGCTCACTAGTGATGTTTTAACTACCTCATAAGTCCTTCAATCCAGAAGCTGACAAGATAGAACTATCCCTTGAAAGTTCTACTTATATATTTTTAGAGAAAGGAGCAATTCCCAGAAGCAGTCATAGTCACTGAGGCTGTCTGTGAACAAAATTTACTCATCACTCCAGAACTCTAAATTAGTTAACATAACATAAATTAGACTAAATTAATAGGTTTTAAGGAAGAAAAAAAAGAAAAAAAGAAAAGAAAAAAAAAAAACAGGAAAAAGAGAATGCACTTACTTTGTCCTGTGTTAGTGGAAATGAAGGACCTGTAAGAAGGAGAGAAGGAGGAACAAACTGTTTCAAACACCAAATGCTGGAAAAAGAAGTAGCCTAGCTAGTTTCCTAGTGAGGCTTTCTTTCTCTCCAGCTTCCTACACTTAATATCTAGGTCTTATCATTTTAATTGAGTTTTTTCAAAGAACAGAAGAAAAAACATATTCATAAATGCCAAGCCTCTTCCTCACCTAAGGCATCAAAAAACAACCATGAATTTGGCTGCTTTTAGACCTTTATTTAGCACATGATATGAGAGAAAATGTTATACTTTGATGAAAAGTTTGAAACAGGCACCCAAAATTCATTATCAATATTTGAGCTACAGAGTGCCAGATGTTTCCAACACTTTGGAAAGGTAAAGAAGGAAGTAGAATAGCACATAAAATAACTGAATGGAACACGTAAATTAGCTTCAGTATATCAAATGCATTAGCTTACAGAGTGCACGTGTTTCACCAGAAGTTCATTGAGCTAATTTACTCATAAGCTGCTGCATCACGCTCATATGCTTGTATTGAAACAAATGCTAGGAAGAATACTCCTTGATATGAAATGTCTTGTGTAACATCCACTGCAGAGGGATCATGTAAGGCTACTAAATCTGTGGACCTGAGTGACAGAAAAGGAACTGTAAGCATATCATTGAACTCCATGTAGGGTAACTTCTTACAATCTATTGTATATCTGCTTATTCCAGTTGAACGTGAGAGAACAGTATCCAACACTAAAACAAAAAGATAACTGTAACATGGTGCTCATGATTTAGCATGACATGATTTGAGACATGATTTAGCAGGGGATTGTTAGAGTTAGGATAGTATGTGGTTAGGTTGTGGTTGGACTCAATAATCATTAAGGTCTTTTCCAACCTGAGTGATTCTGTTATTCTATGATTTAGTCTGGGGTCTTTGAAGAGACATAACCTCTGACTTAGGTCCCACAAGGTATTGATCACTGTTTTACTGTCTTAACATCCTCTAAGTCGGGATGTAAGAACCTCTTCTGTACTGAAGAGATGAAAGAAGTAGAGGAAGGTACAACTTGTCACATTCAGTAATGACGAATGATTAGTCTATTGTTTCGATTAGAGATATTGTCCCATTATTCAAATTAATTAATTACTTTAAGCAAGATCAGACTCAGTACCAACTATTGGGCAACACTGCTAGATACACGTCCACACCTTGACTCTGTATTATTGACCACAGTCCTCTGACACCTGACATTTAGCCAGTTCTTAAACAACCTCACCTTCCCATAGTTCAGCCTACACTTTCTGAGCTTGCCTAGAAGTATATCATGCCTAGAAGTGTCAAAAGCTTTGCTGTAGTTTGGATAGACAGCACCTATTGCTCTCTCCACATTTATCTTGCCCCTTGTACCATCTGATAAGGTAATCAGTTATGTTAAGCATGATTTCTCTCTACTGAATCCATGCTTAGCGCTGCTGATCTCATTCTTGTTTTCTACATGCTTAAAGATGGCTCCAGAATGAGCTGTTCCATTGTATTTCCAGGAATTGGGCTGAGGCTGAGTAGCCTGCATTTCCCTGGTTCTCTTTCTTGCCCTTTTTGAAGATTGAGGTGAGATGATGTTTGCTTTCTTCCAGTCCTCAGGCACCCCTCCTGATTGCCTTGACCTTTTAAAGATGACCAAAACTGGCCTAGAATTGATGTCTGCCAGCACTCCCTCAGCATTCACATCACCCCCAGTTTCACATAGAGGCTCCAGGCTCTTCCTGAAACCTGAGACCCGCAAAGCTACTTCCACTTTTTGAACATCTACCTATAATCATATTTCCTGTTTCCAGCAGTTACAGCAGGAGCCTTCTTCAAAAACATCCAGAAGAATAAATAAATTAATAAGAATCCAGCTCACAAGAATATATTAGACTAAATAACTAAATTTTCTCATGGCTTGAAAGTCCTGGGTTTACTATTTGCATCTTATTTACCTAGTTTTCTCACGTTTTAGTGAACTGAAGTGTGAGGAAACAAAGGAGCATAGAACTTTTTATATCATGTTTGAAAGCACCAAAAGAAAAGACCTAGCTTCATAAAGATAAAAAATGACTGGTAAGATTTTCCCCGGAACAGGGAGAACCAAAACAATAAACCTCAACAACAAAAAAAGCAAATCGTTGACTCTGGCAAAAATAGAAAGCATGCAAGAAACGTAGATGAGGGAGAAAGATCC